GACTAAAATAGTTAGAAATTTTACATTCATTTATTCAAAGAAAATTTGAACGTTGCATTTATTAGTTTATAGCACTACCGGAAAACGACTAGAATTCCAAGTAACTCCAAAAGGAATGATCATTGCAGAGTGTCATAAGAAAGAATGAGGGTCTACAGGAGAAGGCTGGATGACACTCTTCCAAAGCATCTCAGGGTGACATTAACTATTTGGAGACTGGCCTCAGCCCTGCCTCTGCACAGCTGGAGTTGAATGGGCTCAGGGTGGGCAGGGCAGGGACTGACTTAAACAAGCCACTCTCACAAACTTCATATACTTACTCAGCTGTAAATGCACTAATTCAGAGTAGGAGAACATTCCCTTCTAGTGATCAGAAATCCCTCATTCTACTACCCAGGACACCTGAATAGTAATGGATGTCAGATTAGTAATCAGAAAGCTGCATGATAAGCATGGAATCAGAGTAAAAGTAGACAGCTGTAAGAAATGATTGACTGTGACCTTGGTACTGTGACATTGGTGGGGCTAATGACTCATCTCTGTCCCACCTCTGTGTATTTCTCTATTGGTTAAAGTTCACCTCTGTGAACCTACTTCTCTAAATCTGGCTAAGGCTCCTTCAAACTATCGTATTCTTTCTTTATGTATCTTAATTCATTCAATCAACTGTTTTCAACATTTTTGTCCCCGATACACCTGAGGAATGGGAAACTCTTCTGTCATTCTTTTATTAATGATCTCCAAAATAGAAGCTGGAGTGACAACGTATCAGAATTTGGGAAGGGTGGGTCTATACACATGCCCCCTCTTTCTGCCCTTTGAGAAAAGGCCCCACAGCCATTCTGTCGATTCAATCCTTAGAACTCAAAATGAGTGAACAGTTCTGCTCTATTAGGCTCTAGATTTTAAAACTCACTCTCAGAATGCATTCTTACATTTCTGTGGAGAGCTAGCTTCCTTGAAGGCCCTATGTATTGACAAGAGAGACCACTATTGTGTTTCTACAGAAAATAGCAAAAAAGAGTACATTTTGATTCTGTATATATCCTGCCTATATTATTGCTATAATTAATTATAAATCCAATAATACAATAAAATTAGTAGTAATATGAAAGGATTTATTGAGCTTTAACAAAAAAAAAACCTTAAATTTTAACCCTTGTTACTGATAACTTTAGGTATACATGCTATTTTCTTAGTAGTCCAAGTATATAGAAAATAATATTTCTTTTGGCAATTGAGGACACTTTAGTGTTTCAAGACAATCATTTCTTCTCACTATACATATAGAGGAGCCCTGGTGGTGTGGGGGGTTAACAGCTTGACTGCAAACCAAGAGGTCGGCAGTTCAAATCCAACAGACGCTCCTTGGAAACCCTATGGGGCAGTTCTATTCTGTGCTACAGAGTTGCTATGAGTTGGAACCAATTCGACGGCACCTAACACAACATACATATAGAAGATTTAAGAAATTGAGTTAAATATACAGTGAACTTAGGATTTACCCTGAATACTGTTTTTGAAACTGAATTCCTGCCTATGTTTTCTCCCCATCCTTTGTCTTTCCTTGAGCAAAGCAATTAAAATATGTCATGTTAATGAAGTGAACTGATTATTTGGACTTTAGACCGTTAAAATTCTACTACATTAAGTCATTCAAAAATATTTATTGATCATCTGCTACATGTAATGTGGCCCTATAATCTATTGTCCAAACTGCCATACTTGGAGAGTAAAGAAGGCACTATTTATATTTACATTGCCAGAGGCTAAACCCCAGTCCCAAACTGTACTGGTCATGCCAAACCAGAAACATGCCAAACACTCAGTCACTGGAGACAGACAATGAACAAAACAGACATGGTCCTTGTCCTCAAGGTGTTTATAGTCACACAAAGAGAACAGGAGTAGAACAAATAATTATAATTGTAATAAATGTTATAAAGGAGAAGTACAAGATGTTATAGGAAGGTGAAACAGTAGAACCTGACTTACATGTGATTAATGAGTTTGAGTTAGAACTAGGATCGGGGATAAGAGGGTCACAGCTTTTCAGGGAGAAAGAACATGTTTGAAGATCCCTGTTCCAAAACAAACGCAGAACATTTCAGAAGACAAGAAGGGGCAGGGTGTGTTGAGGAGAGAGGTTGGAGTAGGGGGCTGGGGACAGATCATGGAGGCCCTAGGTAACGTTTTAGATTTCTATTGCAAGGGCAATGGGTAGTCAGCAGGCGACTAATAGAAGCTGGGTATTTCTTTCTCTAAAGATAAATGTGGCTGTAGGATTGTTCGGGGGTCAACAAACTGTTTCTAGAACAGGATCAGTCAGTAAATATTTTAGGTTTTGCAGGCCATGCAGTCTCGCTTCCAACTACTGTCACTGCAGCGTGAAAGCAGCCACAGATAATATCTAAATGAATAAGTGTTTCCTTAAACTTCACTGCTGGACACCAGAATTTGAATTTTATATGATTACCATGTGTCATGAAGTCTACTTCTGATTTTTTTTTTTTTTAACATTTAAAAATGTAAAACCATTCTCAGTCTGTGGACCATACAAAAACAGGTAGCAGGACTATCTGTCAGAACACAGAAGTGTGTTTGTGGGTGGAGGGGCTAAGCTAAGCAAGAGAGCTGTGGGTGGGGTGGGAAAGGGCCTAGAGACTTATCTTGAACCATGGTTGCACAGTTCTGGAGCTGCCACTGTACCCTGACCCCACAAATCCCACACAGTCAGTGCACTGACAAAGGCTGGGAACTTTGCTGAGGTGCTATAAATTACTTCATGAGTGACCATACTGGAAATTTAAAAACATCTAAATTAGGACTTACGTTAGACCAAATATCTGGAATAAACTGCCCTTTCAGAAGCAATGCATCAAAAGAGTTTTAAAATGTCCTTTTAAAAACCTTCATTTTCAAAGACACTATATTTGGCTTCAGCTTTTTTCTCCTATTGTGGATATACTTTTACTGGAGAAATAAAACACACACTCACACACATGATTTTACAATCATTTTGTAGTATTTAATTAAATAATCTTTTTTTTCTAGATTAATTTGCTTTGTTTTTAAGGTCTCATGAAGGAAGGAAGCAGAAGTAACATATTCACTTTTACTCTCAGATTTCCCAATTACAAGCAATCACGAATATAATAATCTGCACTTAAATTCTTTAATAATATTTTGAATATATATAATATGTAATACTCAAATTATTTCTAAGGTTGTTTTATAGGACTTTGTAATTATACTGTGTATTTTACAGTGTTTTTTTTTTTAACTTTTTCTTACAGTATTACACAAGATCAAGAAATCTAATCAATGTGGCTTTATCACTTTAAAAAACTAGAAGGCAAGTGAGGCTTATAAAAGTATACATGTGATGTATACCAAGACTAATTACTCATACACGTCAGTTGCTATTACTGTTATAGATTCTGGTATGCTAAAAATAAAAAAATGCTTCTTCAAAGATCACTAGGAGAATACAGGAAAAGTATTGTTTTTCTAGTTCTCTTTCTGGGTGAATCCTACAGTGTTTAAAATTCCAGTTTTAAAACTGAGACTACCCCCTCAACTTTCATAAATTTTGTACAGTATCTAACCCTTCGTATACACTTAAACACTAATTTTTGTCTTAGTATAGAGCAGTAATTGCCACTGCCCTATTTATTAAAATAAGAGGGTAGTGGACACTTGCAATAAAGAGTTGCGTGTTCAACGATAAATGTAATGCAATAATACGAATATTTAAAAGGTATAACTACTGTAAAGACAGTAACACTCCATGTTCATACGTCAAGACCACAGGTGACATCAGGCTGTCTTGGAGAGGTTTAGATTTTACTGCCAGCCAGTGGATGGAGCTTTTTCTCCGCAGACAGCAGCTATTCCACCTCCTCCCCCTTCGGAAAGTTTGGTTTCATTTTTTCATTAAAGTTGAAACCTCAGTTTCTCCGTGGGCTCACCTGTAAACCTGAACTTTACCACTTTCCCGGAGGTATTTGTTTCCCCCAAGGATGTATCCCAGCTTACTCGCTTATGATAAAAGCAAAGGTGAGTCTGGGAGGGCAGCAAACCCGACATGTAGCCAGGTGGAGGCTGTGGTCTTAGGTTCCTTGCAGTAATGAGATGAGGGCGCCTGCGTGGGGGACTGCAGGGCAGTCTAAGAACCTGGTATTTGGAGGTGGGGCTAGCCAGGTCTCTAGGGTGACTCAAGTTTTCCAGCCGCTCCTGGAGGCGCAGCCCACTGTAATTAAGGCAGTGGATGTGAACAGACAGACCTGCAGTGGCTGGTCTCCACCGACCGGTGGAGGAGGCACCAGCTGAAGGGCGGTGTGGAGCTGTGCAGCAACAGCTTTTGTGCACAAACTCAGTGCCCCATGCTGGAGGCGGGCGCGCGGCTGGACCAGCAGCCTGGCCACAGGCCTCTGGGCAGGCTGTGCGCCCAAACGCAGAGAAAGGCAGGGGTGGGAAGCTGACCTTGGACTCGAGGCTTCCCTGCCTGCCACGTCGACGGAGGAGGGGCTGGCTAGGCTCTCCCCAACCCCAAGAGCCATGAGTCCCCTCTCTCAGAGAAAGTGGGAGCACCCAAGTAGGGTGCTGCTTGGAAGCACCTGTCCAGCCTGAGAGTTCAAAAGGCCACTCAACCCCAACAGCCCAAGAGGCCAAAATTTTGTCTGCTTCAGTGAGGGGCTTGCCTGGCGGTAGGGAGAGGAGGAAATTCCCACCTGCAGTGGTTAAGCTCCTAGGAGCCTTTCTTTTCTGCTGGAAATCTCTAACCTCCTCCCCAGCATTTGTTTTAATAACGGCTTTATTGAGACATAATTCACATACTATACAATTCGCCCTTTTAAAGTGTACAATTCAGTGGTTCTTTTGTCTATTCACGGACTTGTACAACCATCACGATTAATTTTAGAACATTTTCATCAACCCAAAAAGAAACCTATACCCATTAGCATCACTCCCCATTCCTGCCTGCCCCTAGCAACCACTAATCTACTTTCTCTGCCTAATATGGACATTTAGCCTAATATGGACATGTCATAGAACAGACGGGCTTTTTTCACTTAATGTTTTCAAGGTTCATCCATGTTGTAGTATGTATCAGTTCACTCTTTTTTATTGTCGAATAATATTGCATTATACACATTTTGTTTATCCATTAGTTAATGGACATTTGGGCTGTTTCCACTTGGGGGGCTATTAGGAATAATGCGGCTATGAACATTTGCCTACAGCTTTAGTGTGAAGGTATGCTTTCAATTCTCTTGCGTGTATGCCTAGGAGAGGGATTGATGGCCATATGGTAACTCTATATTTAACATTTTGAGGAACTGCGAAATTGTTTTTCAAAGTGGCTGCACCATTTTACATTCCCACCTACAATGTATCATGATTCCATTTTCATACAGTTTCCACATTCTTACCAACTCTTGTCATTGTCGTCATTTTTTTTTTTTTAAGCCATCCTAATGGGTGTGAAAGAAGCTCTGGCAGCACAGTGGTTAAGTGCTTGGCTGCTAATAGAAAGGTCAGCAAATCAAACCCACCAGTCGCTTTGAGGGAGAAAGATGTGGCAGTCTGCTTCCACAATGATTACTGCCTTGGAAGCCCTATGGGGCAGTTCTGCTCCATCCTATAGGGCTACTATGAGTTGGAAACGACTCCACAGCACCGGATTTGGTTTTATTGTTTTTAATGGGTATGAAGTGCTATCTCACTGTGGTTTTGATTTATATTTCCCTAATGGCTAATGACATTGAACATCTTTTCATGTACTTTTTGGCCATTTGTATATGTTCTTTGCAGAAATGTCTATTCAAATCTTTTGCCCATTTTTTAATTGGGTCATTTGTCTTTTTGTATATTCTGGATACAAGTCCTTTATCAGATATATAATTTACAAGTATTTTCTCCCAGTGAGTGGATTTTCACTTTCTTAATAATGTCCTTCAATGTAAAAAGTTTTAAATTTTGATGAAATCCAATTTTTTTTTTTTTTGTTACTGAGCTTTTGGTGTCATAGCTAAGAAACCACTGCCCAGTCCAAAGATCGTACAGATTTACTCCTATGTCTTCTTCTAATAATTTTATAATTTCGCACATACCTTTAGAACTATGATCCATTTTGAATTAATTTTTATATATGGTGTGAGGTAGGGGGTAAAACTTCATTTTCTGGCATGTGGATGTCTAGTTGTCCCAGTACCATTTGCTGAAAAGATAACTCTTTCCTTCATGTGATTGTTTGGGCACTCTTGTCAAAAATCAATTGACCATATATCATTCAGCCATAAAGAGAAATGAATTTCTGATACATGCTATGGCATGGATGGACCTTGAAAATATTATGCTAAGTGAAAAAAAATCAGACACAAAGGATAAATATTGTATGATCTCACTTATATAAAATACCTAGAATAGGCAAATGCATAGAGACAAAAGGTTATTAGTAGTTACCAGGGGTTGGGGAGAGAGGAAATGGGAAGTTATTGCTTAAGGAGTACCTCTGGGGTTATGAAAAACTTTTGGAACTAGATAGAGACGATAGTTGCACAACATGGTGAATGTAATTAATGTCATTGAATTGTACACTTATAAATGATTTAAATGGCAATTTTTTTGTTATATATTTTACCACAATAATTTTTTTTTAATCAATTGACCATAAATATAAGGGTTTATATTTGGACTCTCAATTCTATTCCATTAATCTTATACAAGATATTACTTGACAACAGAGGTATTCTATTCCATTAATCTTATAAAAGATATTACTTGACAATAGAGGTAGTTTTACTTCTTCCTTTCCAATCTGGATTTCTTTCTTTTTCTTACCTACTTGCTCTGGCTAAAACCTTCAGTACAGTGTTGAACGGAAGTGTTGAGAGATCATCCCTGATGTTAGGGGGAAACATTCAGCCTTTCACCACTAAGGATAACATTAAACCAACTAAACCCGTTGCCGTCAAGTCAATTCCAACTCATAGCAACCCTATAAGACAGAGTAGAACTGCCCCATAGGGTTTCCAAGGAGCGCCTGGTGGATTCAAACTGCCGACCTTTTGGTTAGCAGCCGTAGCACTTAACCACTATGCCACCAGGGTTTCCAAGGATGATGTTAGCTGTTGGTTTTCTGAAGATGCCCTTTATCAGGTCAAAGAAGTTACCTGCTAGTCCTAGTTTGTTGAGTGTTTTAGTTTGTTTTTAATCATAAAAGGGTACTGGATTTTTGTCAAATGCTTTTTCTGTATCTGTTGAGAAGATCATGTGGTTTTTGTCCTTAATTCTCTTGATACAGTATATTATATTGGTTAATTTCCATATATTGAATCATCCTTGCATAAACCCCACTTGGTCATGACATATAATCTTTTTCATATGTTGCTGGATTCAGTTTGCTAATATTTCACTGAGGATTTTTATGTCTATATTTATAAGGGATATTGGCCTGTAGTTTTCTTGTGATGTCTTTGTCTTTGGTATCAGGGTAACACTGGCCTCATAAAAAAGTTGGGAAGTGTTTTCTCCTCCTCTGTGTCTCACACATATCTTTTAGGTCTAGTTAACTTATAGTATTTTTCAAGTCTTCTATTTCTTTGTTGATCTTTTGTCAAGTTGTTCTATCCATCATTGAAAGTAGGGTATTGAAATCTCCAACTATTACTGTTGAACTGTCTATTTCTCCCTTCAGTTCTGTCAAGTTTTGCTTCATGTATTTTAGGGCTCTGTTGTCATGTGCATATATGTTTATAATTGGTATGTATTCAAGATGGATTGACTCATTTTTCTTTATAAATGATGTCTGTACTAACAATTTTTTGTCTTTAAGTCTGTTTTGTCTCATATCAATATAGTCGCTTCATCTCCCTTAACTGTTACTGCTTGCATTGTATATCTTCTTCCATTCTTTTACTTTCAAGATGGTAGACTGTTGGATCACGTTTTTTTTTTTTTTCCATTCTGCCAATTTCTTCCTTTTGATTGGACCCAGTTACACTTAATGAGTTAATGTAATGTCTGCCATTTTGCTATTTGTTTTCTATATGTCATGTATTGTTTGTTCCTGTACTCCTTCATTACTGCCTTCTTTTGTATTAAATATTCTCTAGTGTACCATTTTAATTCCTCTTTGTTTCTTTTACTGTATTTTTAAAAATCTTTTTTTTTTTTTGGTTGTCCTAGGGATTACAATTGATATGTGAACTTATAGCTATGAACTTTGTTTTGCTTCAGGTTTCTTCTTGGAATTTGAATAGTCTAATCTAAATTAAATAAAGAAAAATAAAAAGCAGCTCTTCAATTCTAAACACTGGGAAGTTGTTATTATAATAAGCATCTGCCTTTGATATGAGCACTTACCTTGTCTAATAAGACATTCTGCCATAACCTGAAGATACTGAGGTAACTTCTATCCCTGGCAACAAAAGATGTAAAGAAAAACTGCAAGGAAAAATAATAGGATAGTTTTAGTATCTTGGAAAAATAAAGGGAAAGTATCTGTTGCAAAGTCTGCTACGACATGTTACGGTAAAACCAAACTACTAGGTGGCCACCACCTACTTATATATTATTTTCATTTAACTTTTTGCTACAATAGAAAAAAACCAGAAATGTGTGTATGAACAAAGTACCTTTACAAACTGTATCTTACAACAGCTAGTATTTTATCAAATATAATTTTATCAATATTTACTAAGGAAAAGGGCTTGAAATAGGTATTTATGAATGTCATGGTCTGACTATTAAAATCAATATAAACAGAATTATGAAAATTTTCTGTTATTATGAACTTTGCAAAGAGACATAAATTGGTTGCCATTTAAGCCAAGTATACACACAAAATTTTTTTTTAAAGTGGATTTCAGAAACAAATTTAAGGATCTTAATTTTAAATTATATCATCTTCCAGTCTTCTAAAAACTCCAGAAATACTTAATTTCTACTACTTATAAAACCCCCCAGATTAACACTAAACTTTGTTTTGAGTATTACAGAAGAAAACAAGTATGTTTCAGGCCATAATTCTTTGTTTGCTTTCAGCCCTATCTCTTTCTCTACATTGAACTGATTTTTGCAAAGTTATATTTTAAAATGGGCTATTATGAGAAAATGTGGCAATTGGCAGCACTACATGCAGTCTCTCAGTCTGTCGTCTCTTCCAGTCCTCTAGTGAGTGACCTTTCACAGCTGAGTGATTGCCTTTGGAACAAGAAAGCTCAGCTCTATGCTTGATTTACTAAATGAAACGTCAAACGATAACATATTGGGTGGTTATGGACATCTTAAAGTGCTATTTTCCAATTAAGTTAAAACTTTGCTATAATAATATTCTCATCAAGCGGAATTTTTTTATAAAGAAGATATATCTAGGAAGTCTTCCAAACAGAATTACATGGGTAACATGTGACATAATGATCACTACTTACTGTCCCATTTCCTTTTCTTAGGCCAAATGGTTTTTGCCTTTTGTTTTATAATAATCTTACAATCCTGTGTTCAGAGATATAGATAAGAAAAACTTCACAGTCCATCTCATTTTCACTACCGTGTTGTGCTTGGTAATTCCCATTTCTTAAATTAAAACCTTCTTATCAACTCTATCCATTCTCCTACACAACCAGCACATTTCCAATCCTTAAAAATTCCAAGTTTCTGGATAATCTATGTAAACTATAGCTTCCTTTATTTCTCACCAGATATCCAACTTCAAAAATTTGTTAATAAATCTTGGTTCAATAATAACCTTCCTAATTTGGAAAGCGAAGCCGTGGTGGCACAGTGGTTAAGAGCTCAGCTGCTAACCAAAAGGTTGGCAGTTCAAATCCACCAGCCGCTCCTTGGAAACCCTATTGGGGAGTTCTATTCTGTTCTATAGGGTCGCCATGAGTCAGAATTGACCCAACAGCAATGGGCTTAATTTGGACAGAGCTCTAGATAACGATACCTCTGAGCTGCTGGGGCACAGAACATATTCTAGAACCCCACACAACTAAAAGTACCCTGATGAGCCTTCCTTTAGTCATAGGGTACATAAAGGGATGAACGTTTGAAAGCACACAGCTTCTTCATGATAATGGAAAAAGAGATCATTGAGTCAGCATGGTAAGAAAGTTAAGACCAGGTCCCTGCAGTTAAACTACTGGGTTCATGGCCTAGCTCTACCATTTCTTAGTTCTGTGACTTTCGTTCACTTGACTTCTCTGCTCTTTAGTTTCTCATCTGCAAGATAAGAATAATTATACTAGTAGATTTTTGTAAGCATTAAATGAATAAATGTATGTAAAGAGCTTAAAACAGTGCCTGGAACACAATAAGTGTTCAGTAAATGCTAGTTGTTATTATCATGACAACGAGTAAATGCTAGTTGCTGTTATCACTATTAAAATTAAAATGCTTGACCCTGAAATCCCATCACATAAGCTCAAGGAGGCGTGGTTAGGCTGCTCACTGCAGCATGATTTATAATAACAAAACACTGGAAATAACCTAACAGTCAGGAAACTATGGAGAGAGAGCTACCTGTATGTATGGACATGTGACTCCAAGAGACAATGTTAAGTTTAAAAAGAGAGAGAGAATTGAAGAACAAGGTGGATAAGCATTTTACTTTGGGGAAAGCAGCAAAACAATATGTTTATAGACAGGCATAAAAACCTTCTGCCGTCAAGTCAATTCTGACTCACAGTGACCCTACAGGACACAGTAAAACTGCTCCATAGGGTTCCCAAGGAGCGGCTGGTGGATTCGAACTACCGACCTTTTGGTTAGCAGCCGGGTTCTTAACCACTGCGCCACCAGGGTTCCATATTTATGTATATATGTACATCAGTGCAAGGAGCCCTGGTGGCACAGTGGTTAAGCACTCAGCTGCTAAACGGAAGGTTGGCAGTTTGAAACCACCAGCGACAGGAGAAAGACGTGGCAGTCTGCTTCCCTAAAGACTGGAAACCCTATGGGGCAGTTCTACCCTGTCTTATACAGTAGCTATGAGATGGATTCAAGTCGACAGCAGTGAGTTTGGTTTCGGCTGTGTACATAAATGGAAAGTAAAAACGTCTGAAACATCTGAAAAAATACATATCAAACTGATAACAGTGTTTGCCTCTAGAAAGGCAATGGAATTGGGGCTTATGGGTACAGAAGGAGGATGTTAGCTTTAAAATCATTTGATGGTTTTTTATAATGCACATGTATGCATGTTCTAATTGTAAAATTTAAAGTATTTTAGTTCTTCCACCTCCCTTCCTGAACAGTTCAGCTCTAAAGCTGTTCATGGCACAGAGAAAAGTGGGCATCCACACGGGGGAGGGGGAGGGCAGGGCAGGGGAGCTGCAGCAGCCCAAAGCAGGAGAAAGAGTCAGAGAAGAATGAGGAGGTGGTCCACACAGAGGGGCTGCCCTGTACCGAATGTCAGAGACCAAATGGGGTAAGAAGGGCCTCTTCCCACTGGCCAAATCTGGGACATTCTGAACAACAAAACAAATAATGACAGTAATGGATTATAACTCACTGAATAAAATAAGAAACTATGAGTTCATATGAACATATATGAATAAACTTAAAGCTTGATGAGGAATGCTATATTTACAGAGTTTCCAAGTTCTTTGCCATACAATACATATTAATTACAAAGGAAAATAGACTCACTTTACGTTAAATTCTGGCAGATACCACCTTAATCAAGTAATCACAGTGAATATCACTAGTAATGGTACAAACTGAAATTATAAGCCACCTGAGAGGATGCAAAAAGAATACAGCCTCACTAAACTTCCTGATTATAGCACCAGAAACTCAAGTGGGTAGAAAAGAAGTGGCAGGAAGTAAAAGTGTTCTGCTAATTAGCTCATTGTCTCATCTTATATACGTGGAAATAAGGAAATGAGATACGTAGGATCTCATTCTAACTATGATAATGGAAGACGTTATTTTCAGGGTTTTTTTTAATATCTAAAAGTAAAAAACTTTATTAAAAAGTTTAAAAATAAAGAATACAGCCTCACTTGTGTTTCTCCTGCCAAAATTGCATATTCTAAATTTAATCACAAGGAAACATCAGAGAAACACAAGTTAAGGAATATCCTACAAAATAAGTGACCTGTAACCTTTAAAACCATCAAAGACAGAAAAGTCAAGGAAAGATTAAGGAACTTAAAAAGCACGACAACTAAATGTAATGTGTAATTCTGAATTGGGTGTATTTTCTATAAAGGACATTACTGGGACAACTGGGGAAACTGAATGGGGTCTGAGGATTGATCAGTGGTAATGGATCAGTATTAATTTCTTGACTTTGATGGCTTTACAGAAGAATGACTTTGGCAATACTGGAATATTTGGAGTATGAGGCATCAGGTCAGGGGTAGATTATCCAACAGGCAAGGTAAGCACAGTGCTTACCTTGCTTTACCAGATCATCTGTAGTGAACAATTTCACAGTTTTTCACCACATCAAAGATTCTGTTTCTAGGTATGGCTGGCATCTGTCTCTCTCCCAACCCCACAGCACCTTCCTACAGAATCAAAGCCTCTTTTCAAATTTACAATCCCTGACAGGGATGGATGACTCAGTAAGCAAGGTAAGCATGAGCTTACTTGTGTTTACTTACTAAACTTACTTAGATGATCTGGTAAGCAAGGTAAGCACCGTGCTCACCTTGCCTATTGGATAATCCGTCCCTGCATCAGGCTGACAATTTACTCTCAAATGGTCAGGGTGAGGGGAGTTCTTTGCACAGTAATTGGGAGTTTTCTGTAAGAATGAGGTTGTTTCAAAATGAAAATACAATTTAAAGTGCATTTGAAAGAAACTTTACAGGATAAAAATCATCATCACAATAATTCAGTGTCATAGTAGTCTCTCTCTTCCTGCCCCTCTCTTCCCTTCTTTCCCTTCCTTTATTCCTTCCTTCTTTCCTTTCCTTTTTTCTTTCCTCCTTCTCTTCCTTTCTTCTTTCTTTTGTCAATATTGTTTCTAACGTCACACAGAGCCCTAACCAATTAATCACCAACAACTACTTAAGGCTATACAAATCTAGCATTAAATACAATGTATTTAATATCATCTATCAGAGGAGCCCTCCGGGCACAGTAGTTAAGTGCTCAGCTGCTAACTGAAAGGTCAGTGCTTCGAACCCACCAGCTGCTGCACGGGAGAAAGATGTGGCAGTCTGCTTCCGCAGAGATTACAACCAACCTTGAAAACCTTACGGGGCAGTTCTACTCTGTCCTACAGGGTCGCTATGAGCCAGAATCAAATCGACAGCACTGGGTTTGGTTTTTAGTGATCTCTACCAGATATTCCTAGCTCCAAAAAGGAATTGCCTATATTCACAACACTGATAATCAGTATGAGGCAGATTTTCTTTATGTTATGGAATAAGGTGATATTAGAAAAGTATTTCACCTTTTCACCCTCTGTGATGATTTGGATCGCATTTGGGATGAGTCGAGCAGTTTTCTCCTTAGTCATGAAGGTTATATCTTCTAAAGCTATAGAAATCTAAACACATTAAAAAAATGAAACATTGCAAAATGTATTTTCCAGAAACATGAACAACACAAACAACCATTACATCAATGTAATCCGGAATACTAAACTGAAAAACCTGAAGGAGTTAGTAAGCACATGCTTGTACTCTCAGAGAAAAATAAGGTAAGTAGCCAGACATTCTTCCCTTCAGTCTTGTCCTCCACCAGCTCCTGTCTAACATTAGGACACGGTGGGAAAAGACACGTGCGTGTTCATGTTCCACATCAACACACAAACACACAAATAAAATTCAGACAGTCTGTCACACAAGACATGGTTTTGGCAGCCAGCAGGATATATGCTCAAGTTTTTTTCAGCCTGAAATCTTTTTCTCTAACTGTATTAAATATGTACAAATAGAGCTCAATATATTAAGAAAAATATATTAAGCATTATGCATACAACATACAAATACATTTACATGTGTACCAATATAGATACACAAATATATATAAATTTACTTTGGAATCTAAAGTACATGGTTATGAGGAAGACTGTACACATTTCATCTCTACAATTATTAGTACCAACAAATCAAATACAAAATACGTCTTACCGTAGTTTCCCATCTGAAGATGTTGCTATAGAAACAGAGCCAGTTTTCTGAAAGGTATAGTCGTCCCTGGAGCAAAATGTCTCTCTGAAGAGCACAAGCATAATCTATATACACAAAAATAAGGGATAGCTTATTTACAAAAGCCTGGCAGCTTAATAAACTTGATACTATTTTAACATATAAAAGTTGCCATTGTTTGTCCATTCATTCATTCATATATTTCAGGCACTAGGGTTACAGCGGTGAATAAACCAGAAATGGCCCTTGCCCTCATGGAACACAGCCTAGAAGGGAAGACAGGCAATAAATGAGTAAATAGAAAAGTAACTATGATAATGACTAAAGCACAGAGAAAGCCATGAGAGCGTATGACAAGGGGCATTCAGGTATGCTGGGGAGGGGTCTTCCTGAAAAAGTGACCTTTAAACTGAGATCTAAAGATCCACAAAGGGCCAGTGGACTATGAGGGAACAGCATGTACAAAGGCCCCATGGTGGAAAAAAATACAGCACACTTGAGGAACTACAAGATAGACCTCTGGGCTGGAGAAGGTCTCACAAGCTTTGGACTCGGAGCTTTATCAGAAGCCATCGGTGACTTTTAAGTGGAAGAGTCATGATCAAAAGTACATTTTTAAAAGGTCACTCCATTTACACTACGAGAAATGGATTCAGATAAATCGGTTGGGAAGGCTATTGTATTAGTCCAGAAGAAAGTGGATGGTGGCTCAGGTCAGGAGATGACAGTATAAAGTGAAAGAAGCAGTTAGATTCAGAGATATTTAAGAGGTAGAACTGACTGGGAATTGGTGATTGATTAGATGTTGGACGAGGGTGAGGGTGGGGTCAAGGATGACTCAGAAAACTGTATACATTTTAGGTTATTTTCAAAGGTGATCCTCTCCATCTCGGCACTAAAATCGAGCAAAATCAAGACTGCCACTGCCGGCCAACATGTTAATATGACGCCTCTAAGATTAAGATCTGGCTCTGTGGCTAATGTAAACAGTATTGCTACATTATCAATATTAGAGGATACACACGGCTACTGAGGGGAGACCTAGTTTATATTAACCACAAAATTTTAAAGCTCTATAAAGTGAATAGCAATTTTAGGAAAATGTTACATAAACCTCAAAGTATTTAAACTTAGTCATGTTCAATTTCTAAGCAACTACTAAAAATTGCACACAGTAATTCAGTCTTTCACAATGCTTCCTTCAGCAAAACAAAGCTGCGATGCCACCAAACAAAAAGTCCCAGTAAATAAGCAGAGGACGTCATTCACTGACTAGTGTGCCTATCTAGAACAAGGATTCGGCGAAAGACCACACTGAGTTGTCCTGAAATTTTTGTCTAAACCACTGAAATAGTTTATTGATTCTGTGGCTGTCAAACTTCAGATCAGAATTACCTGGCAGGCTTGTTAAAATACAGATTGCTGGGCCCCTACCCTCAGAAGTTCTGATTAAATAAGTCTAGGGCAGGGTCAAGAATCTGCAAGGTCTACAAGTTACCAGGGGATTTTAATGCTGTTAGTCTGTAGACCACACTTTGAGAATCACTGCATTCTTTACATTGTTGTTAGGTGCTGTCGAGTCAGCTCCTACTCGTAACAACCTGATGTATAACAGAACAAAACGTTGCCTGGTTCTGCGGCATCCTCACGATAAATCCATGGCAGTCAAGTCGATTCCGACTCCTAGTGACTCTGTAGGATAGAGTAGAACTGCCCCCATAGGGTTTCCAAGGCTGTAAATCTTTACGGAAGCAGACTGCCACATCCTTCTCCTGAGGAGCAGTTGGTGGATTTGAATGGCCAACTTTCAGTTAGCAGCTGAGCGCTTAACCACTGTGTCACCAGGGCTCCTTCCTCACAATAGTAGGTATGTATCAGCCCATGGTTGCAGTCACTACGTCAATTAATCTTGTTGAGGGTCTTTCTCTTTTTCACTGATCCCCTACTTTACCAAGCATGATGTCCTTCTCCAGGGTTTGGTCCCTCCTGGTAACATGTCCAAAGTACGTGAGATGAAGTAAGGAGCATTCTGGATATACATCCTCCAAAACAGATTTGTTCGTTCTTTTGGCAGTCCATGGTACAGTCAATATTCTTCACCAACACCATAGTTCAAATGCATCAAGTCTTCTTCGGGTTTCTTTATTCACTGTCCAGCTTTTGCATGCATATGAGGTGACTGAAAATACCATGGCTTGGGTCGGGCCCATCTTAGTCATCAAAGTGATATCTTTACCTTTTAGGATTTTAAAGAGGTCTTTTGCAGCAGATTTGTCCACTGCAATACATTGTCTGACTGCTGCTTCTATATGTGTTGATTGTGGATCCAAGTAAAATGAAATCCTTGACAACTTCAGTCTTTTCTCCGTTTATCATGATGTTGCTTATTGGTCCAGTTGTCAGGATTTTTGTTTTATGTTGAGGTTTAATCCATACTGGAAGAAGTATAACCAGAATGCTCCTTAGAAGCAAGGATGGCAAGACTTCATTCTGCGTACTTTGGACATGTTATCAGGAAGGACCAGTCCCTGGAGGAGGACATCATGCTTGGTAAGGTAGAGGGTCAGCGAAAAAGAAGAAGACCCTTGATGAGATGGACTGACACAGTAGCTGCAAAAATGGGCTCAAGCATAGCAACAATTGTGAGGATGGCGCAGGACCGGGCAGTGTTTCCTTTTTTTGTACATAGGGTTACTTTGTCTCAGAACTGAGTTGACAGCACCTAACAACAACAATCCATACTGAAGGCTGTAGTCTTTGATCTTCACCAGTAAGTGCTTCAAGTCATCTTCACTTTCAGCAAACAAGGTTGTGTCATCTGCATATTGCAGGTTATTAATGAGTCTTCCTCCAATCCTGATGCCACATTTTTCTTCATATAGTCCAGCTTCTTGGATTATTGCTCAGTATACAGACTGAATAAGTATGGTGAAGGATAAAACCTGGACACACATCTTTTCCTATTTTAAACCACGCATATCCCCTTGTTCTATTCAAATGACTGCCTATTGAGCTACGTACAGGTTCTGCATGAGCACAATTGAGTGTTCTGGAATTCCCATTATTCACAAACAGTGTTATTCATAATTTGTTATGATCCACATAGTTGAGTGCCTTTGCATAGTCAATAAAACACAGGTAAACATCTTTCTGGTATTCTCTGCTTTCAGCCAAGATCCATCTGACATCAGCAATGATATCCCTCGTTCCACATCCTCTTCTGAATCCGGCTTGAATTTCAGGCAGTTCCCTGTCGATGTACGGCTGCAGCCATTTTTTAATTATCTTCAGCAAAATTTTGCTTGCATGTGACATTAATGATATTGTTTGATAATTTCTGCATTCCACTGGATCACCTTTCTTTGGAATGGGCACAAATATGGATCTCTTCCAGTCAGTTGGCAAGGTAGCTGTCTTCCAAATTTCTTGGCATAGGTAAGTGAGACCTTCCAGTGTTGCATCAATTTGTTGAAGCATGTCATATTGACTGACAAAAGATTTTTTTTCAGTGGTTTCCCTAAAATGGTATGTTTTATTATAATAAACTTATACCTCAATAAAATTATTTTTTAAATGTTCCTGGCAATATGTCCTATGGAAAGTTAAAATTAAAAAATTGAAATTTAATATATATATAAAAGATTCCATAGAAGAATCCTGATCAAAAGGGGGGAAATGCAGAACAGAATTCAAAATTCTCATGGATTCTAGACTTTTTGGAGCCATGAAGGGTGTATGAACCTCTGAAATTATTGCCATGATATAATCTTTAAACCTTAAACCAAAAATATCCCCTGAAGTCATCTTAAAACCAAATAGTTCAGCTTAACTAGCAAAAAAGGTCTGCCTTAAGCATTAGGCTCTTTTAAGATCTATGTGGGATCAAACTGACAACAGCAACTCAAAAGATTAGATAGGAATCTTACGAGGCAGTGAGTTTATGTTAATGAGGGAGGAACAACTCAGATAAGGGTGAGAATGTACAACTCGAAAAATGTAATCAATGTCACTAAATTGTACATGTAGAAACCAATGAATTGATGTATGTTTTACTGTGCATATTCTCAACAACAACAAAATAAAAAACAAACAAACAAGTATCTTTATGGTTTTTTTTTAAATTCTATTTTAGGTGAAGGTTTACAGAACTAATATTTTCTCATTAAAGAGTCAGTACACGTATTGTTTTATGACATTGGTTAACAACACCACGACATGTCAACATGCTCCCTTTTTGGCCTTGGAGGACCCTTTTTTTTTTTTTTTTG